AACATTAATTATTAATAAATGATTATTATATTACTTGAATATTAATAAATATTAATTATTTATGAACAACTTTTTTGAAATTGATATTTCAATTGAATATTTAAATCAAATAATTTACTTCACCAATTATGATAAAATAGTTGTATAATTAGTTTGACCAGTTGACGATCGATTAAATGAGAATAGTCGACGTATGATTGAATAATCTCTTTTGAAATGAAATGATAATATATTTCAGATCCATAAAATTCATTAGTTTCATTTCATTATGTCCTGATAGTGATAATTGGACAAAAGCGCACAAATACGTATTTAAAAGGAAGGTCTTGCATTTAATGTCATTAACAGGTTAGCAATGCAATTATTAAGTTAAATTTATTTCAGTTGAATATCAAATTATTTCCATTTGGAGAAGAACCTGTGCGCGTGACAGCTTTGTAATTAAATCGCACTGATTATTTTTCTGTGATTTTATAGAAGTATGTTGTATGTGAACATACTTGAAAAAATTTGCATTCTTCTCTCTGCAGTTTTTCTAATACAATAAAATTATTAAGCTAATTTAACACACAAATCATAAATTAGAGTTTACATTTAATCTTGTACATATTAGTGGAATTATCTGAGATATATTTCCACTCTGAATTAATTGCACATCACCACATGCGAATAAAATAGAATACATGAGCGATTTTTAAAAGTAGTATTAATCTCTTTTTGGAAAAAATGTATTAATTGTTTCAGTGAAATATAAATGGCGTCTTTTTACATTTTCAATAACATAGTCACTATAGTAGAATATTCTCAGAATGAAATGAACCGAGAGTATTTTGTCTCCACCAAATCCCTAGAAAGGGAGAGTATCAAACACGGAAAAATACGGATGGGGAAATTATAAATTAGGTAAAGATATACCGGATGAGGTTTGAAAGGAATAAATTTTACAATATTTTTACAAAACATTTGTGGAAGAAACTACATAATTTAAGATTCTGAGTTTATATTTTAGAAAAAGAAAAAAACTTACAAATTTTATTTCCTTTAACAATTTTACTCATTATTATTATTTATTATAATAAAATTTAACAAGTTTCTAACTAACTGATTAACGTTTCACAGTACATTTTAGTTGATTTCTTTTTACTTTTTTTAGTTGTTTAACTGTTTTACTTTTTAACAGTTTACTCCTTTTTTTTAATGGACTTAAGCTTTCAAAATAAACGGCTCATATGTATTTTCTGAATTGACATTGTAGCTAACTCACAATTGAACTAAATTGAAGATACAAAATATTATTAAAAAGATATTATTGATTCTTGTATTTAGTCATATATAAATAGGAATTAACTTCAATATATAATAAAAAGACACACACGTGTAATAATTATTGTTAATTACAATCAGGTAAATTTCAAAGAAATAAAGGCTAAGAAAATTGAATTTCTTATGAAGCCTGTATTTTTGTGATGTTTCTATCTTATAGAAAGTTGTACGAGTTTTTTGAGTTGGTATATGAGAAATCGAGATCGTAGATTCGAGTTGGGTTGAAAAAATCAAGTGGGATAGGTTCAGAATCTCAACAATATCACGCTATATACCAATTCCCGGAATCCCGACAGTATCATGCTACATACGACTGGTTGGGATCCCGAAAGTTTCGTGCTATGTACATACAAATACTCTAGATCTCGAGATTTGGAGGCGTCATAAGTTGCGTTCACAGTGTACTAAAATCTCACCTATTTGATTTAACAAATAGTTCCTCAATAATAAAACAATAATTTTTCCGATATTTCATTTCATTGATTCATATAGAGGTTTCGTCAATTTTCTACGACATTTTCAAAACTGAAATTTCTTTGGGTATGTTTGAATGCTCCGTTATTCGAATAAGTATTCTCATTTGGAGAAATGTGTTTTAAGTCGTTTCACAAATGTATAATATCAAGAAACTTTTAAATTATTAGAAATACAATTTTTTATAATTAATACGAATTTGTATTTGTTATAAATGTATAAATAATGAATAAATTATAAAATATGAATACAAATTATAATCATGAAATAAAAAAAAGTAGTTTATTACTTTACATATATGAATGGTTGTAATATAATAGTGTACTTCATTTCAAATTTGTATGTAAGACATAATTTTCGTCTTTTTTTCTACATACCTAGCTGAAATATTTGGAATTGCGTCTGAGAAATAACTTGGTATGAAATCCTAAATAATGAACCAAAGTAAATTAATTTGATATTAATAATTCAAAGCAAATTACAACAATTACTTAAAAAACTTATTACTTTCAACAAATTATTAGTGGTAAAGTAATTGTATCAATCGTAAGTGAGAAATAAATCATAGAATAAGATATTAAGAACTGCTGTTAGCGCGTTGACATTTATTGTTAGAAGCAATACGAGTCTAATTGGACAGAGTGGAAAATGTTCGAGCATGCATTTTCGGCAGTAATATGTTATTCATCAATACAATCATACGTTAATTAATCAATACCGCAAACAAAAGACAACGAAAGACCTTATTTAACGTGTCGTACCGAGTACCAAGTCTTCAATAACGCAGAGTGCTTTCAAATTACTTTTAAAAGGGATAGAATATTCAACAACGAAACAACAATCAGATATTTTATTTATATTCCATACAAATTCTAAAAATTTTTATTTTTACATCATGCTTTACGCTAAAATCAATGATATAAAAATTCATTTTGTATTTACAGTTATTTTCACGCATTAAAAACAATGTTAGGCAAATATTAAAATGAGATTTTCAAACTTTAAATCTGCAAAAACAAAAAAAGAAATAGAGTACACGACTAGTATTTCTAGCTGTAAAATTCAATTCGTGGGCTTTGCTTTCACGAGAATGAGAAGAATTATATAGTTGGAAAATATTCGAAGCGAATAAAGCAATGACATAACCTTCATTTAATTTCGCACGGAGTACTGCGTGTTTCAATTGTATTAAAATACCTAACATCGCGTTCAAAAATTGGTACGTTTACATAGTCTGGTACGACCGAAATACCTTACGCTTCTGTTTCATTTCTAGTTCAAGTTCAACCCACAGAGGGTAGATGCCATTCACCACTGATCCGACCTTTGAATCTCTTTTGTTTCAACGGCGATGTGAAACAGACAATGAAGCGTTTTGTAGAGTCTATTCAGTTACAGCGACGCGAGAAGCAACTTTCAGCTTTTCGGTTATACTTCACAATAAGGAAGTTGACACTATTCCTAATCAGAGCTTACAGTTTGTGATGATTGTTTTAATTATGCTATTGACTAATCGTATTGTACAAACTCACTTCATAAAGATTAAATAAAAATTGTTTGTCTATATGAAAAATACTTAAAATATTAAATAAATAAAACTAAACAAACCAAATTAATAGCAAATAAAATAAAATATGAACATTACCTATATAATAGATAGATTTTTCATTTAATCAATTAAAATTTAATTTAATCACTAATCGAAATGTAATTCGTGTAGTTATAAATAATGTAATACCTTAACCTCAAATATATGGTTTTATTTGTATTCCAATGTCATAAATCAAAATATTAAAAAATATAAAAATGTATTAATTAATTTACCCTTAAATGTATTTAATTAATTTTAACCTATTACACAGATATAGTAATCATACTGTCAACATAAAAAGAGTTTTATCAGTAAAATGTGTTTATGAAATAAAAAATCAAGACATAGTTATTCTTTTATATCAAAATTATAAATGTATTATTAGCTGTAAAATTCTACCTCTTTAAACAACAAAATAATATTAAACCAAGAAATGAATGTAATGTCATCTCATTTAAATTTTATAAATTATCATTATTTTATCAAATGTTACTATACCTATCTTATATTTATATTTACGTAGAGAATCATACTTTCATAAATGAGAAGCACAACTAAGCTACATTTATATTGAAAAATTAACATCAATTGTCGAAATATAAAATTATAATATTACCGGATATTGCATAATAATATAATCACTAGCACAGTAATATATGCAATTTCACACACACAAGCAAAAAATACACTATCAGGTCACATTTGTTCCGGGAATCGTGCGTGCAGTACAACTGTCACGCCATACATTATCCGAGGATTAAGGGTATCCCTTAGCAATTACTGTGTCCGATCACTGTACCGTGTTATTCAGATAACTATTCTTCCCCAGGCGCAGACATCGCTTTACTCGGAACGTCGATTCGCGTTTCCCATTAAGAATAAGTTCGCTTGTTTCAGAATGAATGGTGCCCAAATTTGTTCGGTGGTATTGTATGCCATTTCACAAGCCAGATTCATGCCAATGTCATCCGTTTTTCATTTCTATCTGACAGTGCCACCAGATATCGTTTATGGGGACGATACCAGCGCCGACTTCGCAGTTTCGGAGGGTGACAACGCGACTCTAAGCTGCCGTGCGACGGGAAGACCGACCCCGAGAGTGTCCTGGAAAAGGGAAGACGGAGAACCCATTCTTATAAGGGCCTCTTCAGTCGGTATATAATGACACTATAAAACTCGCGGATATCTCCGCGGACAGACCTCTTTCACTTGCTACCTTCGTGAAAAAGGCAGAGAGACGTCGGTGGTTTAATTTCGTTTGCTACCCATTACTCTCTTTGTCTGTGTTTCCGTTACCCATCCTCCTCCCGCCCCGCCGCGCTGTTTTCCTTCTTCCACTTTACCGAAGACCCAAGAACCGAGCTTTATTACAATACTTATAACTGGTAATCGTTGCCTTGACGCTTTATGTCACCAACATCGATAACGGAATACGGAATGTGCAACATCTGCGGTTCCTTTTTTTCTCCCCCGTGTCCCCGTTGCTCGGTTTTTATATCGCGTTATATTCTCAATCGTGAACTCGCAATACTTTATGCTTTTAATATCGAAACCGTACACCGGTCACGCTGCTGTACTCAATATTTTCACCTGACCCGGTCTCGTACTTCGGCACGTTTTTATTTTTACAAATTTTTACCATTTAAACTGCATGCTTTATGGACTCGCCACGGTTACGTTTTCAATATCGCAGCGCGAATTGTTGATCATACGCTTTTATATTTTCTGACTTTTATCTGGATGTGTTTAACGGCTCCGTTGCCGTATATTTGGGTATATTGAGTGTTACTTTAGCGTACGAACGTCGTATCGCGTGTATCCTGTGTGCATTAAAACGTTCAAATGGCCTGTTAACTTGAAATTTTTCCGCTTTCGTAGAATTAATGATGCTTTTTTTAATTAAAGATCGTAACAGTTTCTGTATGTAGTAATACTTTCATGTCGTGTTTAATGGGATGCATGTATATATACACAGTTGCTAACTCTGATACCGTGTATATTAATTTTTATGGCAAATGTAGACCTCACAGAAACTCATAATAGTTACAGTTAACAGAACATTTCGATGATCATGTTTCTTTCGTAATCAGAGTAAGTGTATTTTATTATACATACAGAATATAATTTTAACATGTGACTAGCAATAATATTAACTAAAGAATTTTCATGCACCACTTTAAATTGTTATTTGAGTATGAACTTTAAAATAGATCTAGAAATTTTCATAAAGCTGAAATGTCTTCTTTCTCTATTACTTCTACGTGTGTACAAAATATTTAGTTGTACATGATTTGTAACACAGGGTTTCACCTAAATTATTTCCCCTAACTATCTCTTTCTTTCGTGATAATATTAAAAAACATTTCACATGCAATTTGAATGGTGTCAATGTGCAAGTACATTTATAAAGTAAAATATCATTTACTTTAAAAGATCCGTGGAAACTAATTTTGCAACAAAAGTAAACGATATTTTGCTTTCCATATAAATGTAGATTTCTTCTTTTACTCACTTGCCTCATTTACGCGACCTTTTGTACGCAAATTTATTTTTACGCGGTAAATTAAAACACTACTTACGCGGTGTTGTTTATACGTGATATCAACTTATGCGATCTGAATTTAGTGACACGGAATGAAATTTACTTTTATTTTCTGAAATGTTATTATTATTATATTTGTTAACACGTTGCATGCCATGAGGGTCACCGGTGACCCCCAACCAAATCGAATTACTATAGTTCATCCAATTAAACGATGATTATCTGAAAACATTTCTATATTATAAATAATACTACCTAATGCAATTCAATCAAATGATTTAATAGTATATTTTTTTCATTTTGGGTATTTTGCTATGAAATCGTGTGGCATTCAACATGTTAAGCTATGTGAAATATATATGTACTTCTAAAACTTATACTAGCTTTCCTTTCCAATACTTTGTTTTCCTTTGTACTGATAAACTCTATTTACGCGATTCTCATTCGTTGAACGGATACTCTACGTGAATGAAAGGACATGTCTACCCTGTAATGTGAAAGTATACGAAAATTCATGAAAATAAGATCAGTAATATGTGTTTACATAATCTTATAATGTCTTTTGATTCCCAAAAATATATTTCAAGATTAAACTTAATTTTAACCAGTTAACAGCATTTGACGAGTGTACACATCATCTTAAACCTTAAAAGGATATTAATTTTTTCAACGATAAATTATTTACTTTTCACATGAACATATAATTTTCCCTTGTTTTGCTTTGGGCTTTCATTAAAATATACCCCAGGTGCATTCGGCCTTCGTTTGACAAGTACACACATCATTTTTTGATTTTATTAAGCACAAAAGGAAGAATTTTTGAAACTAAATTTCACAATTAACAGGTTAAGAATCAAAAGTTATTTCAAAGTTATATTATTACACATTGTTGTGGGTATTTCAATGGTAAAAAAGGCAAAAAGATGAATATTATGATTTTGGAAATTCCTAAAATATAGTTTAAAATAAAAATATTTTTCAAAATGTATCCGTTTTATAATAAGTTCATACCGCATGTGAAACATTTTGTAAGTATATATCCATCACAACTGAAGGAAATGTGTAGCTTATTTTAGTATGACATTCTACGTAATGTATAGTATACAGCAGTGTCAGAAGTGTTAAAACAAAATATACATATAAATATTATAAATTCTCTAATATGAAAAAAAATGTATTATAAAGATGTAACAATTCTTACATTACATATAATTGGAAGTACTGTAAATACAAACACAGAGTTTGTACACTCGTACGATGTGCTGTTAATTACCGCCTAATAGTACGTATGTAGTTTGAAGTTTAACTACCAGGCTATTCAGTGGCATAAGTACTAAAGAATTTTCGGTATTCACCGTCATATGACCCCACATTAATTCGGTATTAATAGGGTAATTAGGTACCCCTAATATCCTATATAGTTGAAGTTCTCTTCGTGCAGCGAGGAGGATTTACTACAGTAATAAGACTGTACAAGGTGGTACGTAACTTAAGATTGGAGGAACAAAGAATCGATGCCTTAGAGCAAATAAGAAACGCAGAATATAGGTAAATTCTTCGAATAAATATTTCGATAAATTCAACATTTTACAAGTTTAAAATTCTTAAATATCCTATTCCAGGAGTGTACTGCATTTCACAGATATTTGAACAAAAAAACGAAACGTCTTCAAACAAAATTATTTACCTCTTACGAGTTGACGTATGGTTGGCAGAAATATTAATCGTATATAAGTATTTAAAAACGTTTCAAACAACTTCTGTTATTGATTATTTTTCAATTAATTAAAGATATTTTTTCGTAGAGATGATATGGAATCAATTTTTAAAGAAATTTTAATGAAACTTCCATTTTCAATGTGAAAGTACAAATGATGAAAAGTTTCTATCTGCAACATTATCAATTTTCCAATTTTCCTAATGATAAATTAAAAACTATACGCATTTTAGATAAATATTAACCATTCTTTGATGACATAAATTCTTTCAAAACACTTCACGTAATCTAAGTACAATATGTTTGACCGTAATTTGTTTATAATTTTAGTAACGCCATTTATAGTCTCTCTTTTTCGTTCCTTTGTACTTACAGCAGTAAGGCATGTTTACTTAAACTTATTTAGAAAATTTTTTTCCTGATACGAAATTAATACTTTTAGAAACAGACAATAAAATTTTTATTTTCTATGTTATTGCAATGATTTATAATCACCTAAATTTATTGACTTATAATTAAGAGTGTATCTTCTCACAAAGTGCGCCATAAAAATGGTACAGAATTTGGAGAAACACTGACAAAGATTTTCAATCTTTAATTTCCTTTAACAATTCCATGGCTTTATTTCAGTAATAATATTTTTATTCCAAAATATCACATTTAATTCTGTAGTTAATGTTCACAAGAACCAAGAGTGACTTGTGAATTGATTCACGAAACATTACTCAAGATATAGACAGACTCACTCAAGCATCGCTTCAATTCGACTTCGTAGAAAAGAAGGATTTCCATAAAAAATAATATGCTCAATATTTTATAGAATTTTAAATACTATATTTTTTAAAATTATTTTTATATAAAATGAAAAATTCTAAATCGTTTTTGCTACAAGTAACATTTGGTATAAAATTATCTACACAAGTAATTCTTTTAAGAAGTTTTGGTATTTCAAAAAATATGTTAAGAAAATTCGTTGAATTATTTAATAAATCGAAGTTTAAGAAATAGCTGCTCCAACTGCTCCAACTGTCAGTCACTTTTATGTTCTGAAGACAAATTACAGACAGATAGTAATACCACCTCACGATGATCTTAAAAGTGTTTGTGATTAATAAAATTTATTGAAGAAATTGAACATGATTGCGTTCGAAAGTGTATAGTTAGAATATACGTTTCAGAAATATTCAGCTGTTTGGCACGTAAATCGGTGTTTCCTTATGCGACTACATAACGTATCCTATAGAACGGCGTATGTAGTATGTATATTCAAAGTACAGCATGTCAATTCCGAACGTGTCTGAAATCCATTGGGGAAACGTGCAGAAGCCTGCATTCAAATGAACGGTCAACACTTTGAAGATTTGCAATGGTAAATATTTCATGTGATTCGTGACAATTGTAGAACGAACGTTTTCCCTAAATCGTAGAATGGAATAAGCAACACATTATTTTTTCAAATTACGAGTTACAATGTTCTTTCAATTATCTCTTACTTTTTATTAGTTGTTTATTTATATAAATTATGTATATCTATTCATGTAACACCAGACTATTCTTTATCACGGTCTTGATCAAATGCCAGGATGCAGAAAAATGAAAAAATGGCGGAGAATTTCAGTGTCATGGTAACGTCTTCTTTTTGCATGTGATGTGTCATGCACTCTTTAACGTGTCCTGCGTAATTACATTCCGTTCCGTTTTTTGTCTACCAACAATTTATATAATTGGATGGTATTCTCTTCAGAGGAAACAGAAGGATAAAAGCTGAGAAATTCATAGGTTTGTGAAGTAATTAGTGTTGTAAAATCCACTCATATCATTAGGGCATCTGAAAAAATAATTTCCAGGAGCTGCGCAAACGAATGAAAGACACGTTGGTACGAAATTATGTTAGT